TGGATGCTAAAAATGACGCAAACATCGGGTAGATATGAAAACCAAGATGTTGTAGCCTCTGGTGTGGTCGCTGTAGCTCCTTCTTTGTTCGTTTAAAGGACTAATTGTTTATTTGTTTACAGGATTTTGCATATCAAGGCAAATCTGTTCCTGTGTGTAGCCTCCTGATGTGTCAAGATATTTGGAATTAGTTTCAACTCAATTTCCGGTTTTGTTTCCTCAGTGGACTTGTCGGGGATATTGATAACCTCCACCAGGATGTCTCCTAGAAGGCTTCTGTTATGTTGAATTGAAAAATTGAGTCCTTTTTCCAGGAACGCGGTTGTTTCGGGATTGAGATGAATTTATGATAAGTTTAGTACTTTCTTCCTATCCTCGTACTAATCAGTAGCTACTTCAACTGGGCGTACTGGCTTTAAATTAGGCTGTCTTATAATCCCTAACTTACGCAATTTATCGTCATGCCGTTTTGTTATGCAGTCAGAAATCCTACGTGATTCCCTGTGGGTCATACTCTGGAGCTTTTGAAAATCTTCCGGAGACAGGATCCTGGGCAGATCACGCCAGAAGGTTGACTTAACATTTATTAACTTAAACAGCTTATTCCGCTCTGTAACATAGGTCTCACTTAGTTTCTGAATAGAAGCCTAGTGGAGATACTCATTAACCTTATTAGCATGGTAGAGTCTCTTAAGGTCACAGATCTTATGAGTGATAACATAAAGTTTACAACAGTCTAAAAAAGTCAGATTGGAAGATTCACCTACAATTGTCTTTTTTGTCAGGTTGTATTAAGTGCGTTGTCTGGCAATTTCACTACCGTAGTTTAATTGAAGTTATGTAAACCAAGATGGTCTGGCCTCTGGTATGGTTGCAGTTGCCTTTCGATTTATAAAAGTGGATTGACCTTGTTGTGGCAATTTTGTCCTGTTGTTAGGGCAACTTAGTAGAACACACCTAGTCCGAAGTCGTCTGCCATAGTAGTTGTCATAATTCCCTGTATCAGACAGTAGACTTGGTACATTCTCAAACGTTACGCCGGCATCATTAGTGAGTGTTGCCATTCCTTGCACCAAGCTACGAACGCGTCAGAGAAAAGTGAAATCAATCCCTCGAACAACATTCGCGAAATGTTTGAGAATGTACCAAGTCCACTGTCTGATGCTGCGAATTATCGCAACTACTATGGAAAACGACTTTGGACTATGTGCGTTCTACTAAGTCGCCCTGTTAACCATGACCAAGTTGCGACAACGAGGTCAATTCACTCCTACAAAGCTTATATTTTAATTCAAAACTATCTTTGATAGCAGAGAGAATAGAGTTGGTATAACTAGAGCTTGGATCGCCAATTTTGAGAATATATTCCGAGTACATTGTAGCTAAGACAAAGTATGTCGCATTTCAGTACCTTCCTGACAATGCTCCAAAAATATGCCTAGCCCTCGGACCACATTGGTTCGACCAATCTAATCAAGATATGCATTGGCCTACACGGTAAAACAATCTTCCCCTAGCTTATCTGCGAGAATACCAGAGCACTTTTAATCATTTAACTATTCTGATATGTTATTGTTCGATATCAATCACTCCACGACCCATACTTACATTTTTGTAGTTCTTGATGTTTCTTTTCTGATTTAGCTATACAACGAAGTCCTTTGCATCCTTTGTTGTCTCTCGATAGCCGGGCGCGTTGTCCTCTGATACGCTGTTAATACAAAATTTGAAGATCGCCTAAAATGTGCTCGACTGCCCTTAGAAGTCCTTGGACCTTTTATTAGCAGCATTGCAATTTTGCTCACCAACTCCACTGCTGCAATCTCTGCTTGCGTTGCTGCTGCTACACTTACCTTATCTCTTACTTGTCACAGTGAAACAACTTCTAATCTTGTTTTTCTTCACAGTTCTATTGGCACTTCCGCCAGTAAAATCCACACTAATTCCATTAGTTCTTCATTTCTGATTCCACAATACTTCTCTGTGCTTGATTCCTCGAGCAACTTGGAACGGTATTAGATTCCACCGGCTGCTAGAGGGCAAATTTCGTTTAATCGTTGTCCCAGATATCTGGCCAAGCATTTAAATCGCTTGCCATCGCTGACAGTACACGCAGAAATGGCTGGATTGATAAAGGCAGTCATCGAGAACCTGTCTTCGACTTCTCATTCAAATTGTATTTGCATCTGTCTGTTAAGCTGTAAGGATTCTTGAGTGTCAGTTGGGCCGTTTCTTTCTGCAGCCGAGGCAAAAATGAGAGAAGCACTTTATGCCGTGCATGAAAGGGGCTGTAGTTCTGGGCTATCGAAGGATGTTTCATACGAGATAATAGATTCTATATGTAGTTCATTAATTTTATTCCATATATCGGTGGTCTATTGATCATCCCTTACTAGACATATTTTGATAATTTTATCAGTCATGGCTCTTCTTAATATTATTTTTTTTTGTAATTAGATAAAACTAGTAAAGTTAACATTTTAGCCTTCCATTCCTATATGGTTCTATGTATAAGTATGACTAATAAATCCACATTATGCTTGTGGGTTGTTGAGATGTGCCTTGTATCCGAGTGAGCGCCAAGTATGCTTGTTTGTGATGGCCGAGCTTTACTCTATTCAAATTATTTTCGAAGTCGGTGTGACTACGAATTTCGGCTAAGTTGATACTTATGGCTGTGGGGCTTGACAAACTTCGTCTAAAACTCAAAAAATTCCCATTTCCCTTTTGTGTTGTGCAGCTTCCAGGGCCCACACGGACATTTCAGCAGGATTCTGGATCAATATATTTGTTACGTCATCCTTTGGATGGCGTTCTTGAAAAAAACCTCTTGACATTTGACTGTAAAATTCTTGAGCTGCAAATTTCATGTACACATTAATTCACCCAACTCACCTGTGAAAATGTCAGGAGACGAAATGTGCTGTCGGTGCAAGCAAACTATACAACATTTTCAATGTAGCAACCTAAACGTCTGAAAAGGAGGCCTTTAAATCATTCCAGGAGGAAGAACACGTTTGGCTTGACATTCAGGCGGCAGAATATTTTTATCTTAGCTTAAACTCGACAGAGTGCCCACTTCGAAGTCTTCCCTCAAGGAATTTTACTAAATAATGTTCCATTGCAGTGCACTCTGCGGGGCTCCAGGAACAATCTAATTAAGAAATTTTATGAAGGCTTCTTAAGATTCTTATATCAAATCAACTGTAATCTCCTGGTTTCGGTTTCGCCTTACATTTCTTTTTCTTGGATTGGATGACGTTTTCCCCTCTCAGTCTATTCATCACAGTCCATTTACCCCAAGCTTTGAATTACATTCAAGGCAAAACAGGATTTTCCTAACTTGACCACTTTTTGGGCAATGGCATAATGTAATTATTTTTTTTGGGACAGTAAGATTCTATCTTTGTCACCCTAGGTAGTGTAAGGCGAGTAAAATCATCTAGGCTTACTCATATCATTGTGGAAAATTTTGACTGCTGTCATTTCATCACATACTACCTGGGGTGACTAGAGCTCTTATTCAATTTTAATGATCCAATTCTTCCTGCTAGATAAAATTAACTTATTGATATGAATGCCTATTACGGATTTGAAATGGATCCTTATGGACAGCAATATCAACGTTCACTCTCGAAAACTTTTACCTTCACTGGTAAGATCTTGTGTCTCCACAGCATTGTTTCTGCCACGAATGGCACTATAGGCAGCTAATTACTCATCCTTCCTATACAGTGGTTCTGATTCATCACTAGCTCCTTTTCTAGATGCATTCAATCATGTATATTCTGATTTTGGATTAAAGTATTTTTGGAATTAATTAATTCTACAAGAACCTTTTGGTTCCGGGGCTATAAATAGTTTGGATTTTCAGAAAGCTGCTATCTTATTCGAAAAGGATTGATTAGCGCTTTTATCTTCGGCCGTACGTAACTGTTCATTCAAAAACTAGTCTGAAGGGGTTAGGGAATAAGATGGCGTCCGTTGACAAGCTTGGCATTCGATATGATTGCCTCAAATCAGATAATATAGAGGAACGTTAACATCTCTCTTGTGATAGTAATTATTTTAGCAGAAGAGAAGAAGATCGTATTCAGCTAAATACAGTTCAGGGGTTAAGATTGTTTGATAAAAATACCCCGACATCTGAAATTGATGGTATTGGATCTCTGCTCGAGTTACGCGACCGATGCCTGAAACAGAATAACTTCATTCGACTGAATTGGTTTTTTAAAGTGATTGGAGCTAGAAGCACCGTCCGATGTGTGCGCTCACCAGTTGAAACCAAGACGAGAGGCGCTTGTCCTACCTTTTAATTGGCTGCTTTTCACCTCCTCGCCAATCGAAGTGCGGAAGTTGGGCAGCTCTGCACGACTCATATCACGCACCTCGAAAGAGGGCCGTGTCATGCTACCCGGCAGAATAGGACCCATACCTTTACCGAAGCCAGCTTTGGCAGCTTGACGAAGAGCATAAGCATTGCGACCGCCGGATTCGCAGTGTTCGATTAGCTGTGGAATGAAAGTACAGGAATTTTAGCAATCGTTTTTATTCATACACAAAAAGCTTATTATCCACTCGTGGGAATGCTTATACTTATCATTCTGGAAAAATTGGAATGAAAAGGCTCCGATTAAAAGTATGCTTTGGCTTTATTATCCTTCGGGGCTGCCGGATAGAGAAATAAGTGATACTGGCTTAA